TATTGTGGAAATTTATAATGCAAACGCGCGAAAAAAGTATCTCGTTTTCAAAGTGCACAACGACGGTCATTGTGCTTGATTGAATATTATCATATCCAATGAAAATCGTTCGTTCCAATTTGGAGCTAGTGTATTGGATAAAATGTGAACCGTTCGCGATATTGATGGATTAGCTTAGTTGCAGCGAAGCATGTACAGTAGTCATCCTGGCTCATGTCGGCTCAATGACAACTTTACTTAGTTATTTTTGAATTTTAGGTTTTTAGTTTAAACCAGGCATTTAATCCAATACTTTAATCTTAACGTAACAACTATGGTTGTGGGGGGTCATACCATCGACTCGACGTCCGTGTTGCGTTACCAAGATGGACATACCCGTAGTCCTAGTACCCACTCGACGCGCCTGGCTGGAGCCATTCGGGCGGCCAGGCCCGGTCTGCGGTGGACGGCTTCGGGCGGCGCGGTGTGTGGTGCGAGCAGGAAGGGTTAGGGTCAGGAAAGGCCAGGTCTACACCTTTTCCCGATCAAAGTGCCACTTTATTCCAATCAATGTGGCGATAAAAAATATAAAACGTTTGAAACGCAAAGGATGGTTACAAAGAAACTGCACATTTCCATTACAATGTGTTTTATTCCAATCAATGTGGTGCAAAGTCACATTCCATAGGACATATCCTCGAATCGAAGCGCCTTCTCGACATTGCGCTGACAAAACATAGCCTCCCGAATAACCAACGACTGGGTAATACATGGTAGGCTTTCCCGGGCAGCTTCTTCGAGCAATCGCATGCGACTTTCCAGGAAAGAATTGAACTCCCTGCGCATAAAACAGCAGGTTCGTGCGCGAGGCAAGAAATCTCTTGATGTGGGCCTTCAGAACGCTAAAACAACTTTCAATATGGTTCAACATTGGAGAGTACGGCCCAAGGCGCAGAAGTACCAAACCCTCGTGCGGCTGAACTCGCTGCTCGGTTTGTGAGTGTGCAGGTGCGTTGTCGAGTACAATTACCACCTTCTTGCCTTGAAAGTTGGCATCCCAAGTGGCACTTGACGTCACGACCTGATAGATTTCTTCGACGAATGCAGCATTTTGCGC